CTTTGAAAATCCCACCCTTAAACTTCACCTGGAAATTATCTGATAGCCATGTAGAACACTGCCTGTAGGTATACTTTGCTGTCAGTGCAAAACATTGCTTGCTAAGTGGGTTGCCTCCTTTTGTTCTAACAGCAGTGTTTTCATGGTTGGAATATGTAACCTTATGGAGAATAGCATCCTCAAGGTAGCAAAGGTGTGGATAATTGTGGAAAGGTCCACATTTGAAAAAGAATGCAGCCATCTTTCCACGCACTGATGGAAATTACTGCTACCTGAGTACTCATAAATAGTTGAGTATTCAATAAGCTCCCCAGTTTGTTAACCTTAAAAACATGGAACCAGATCCTCAGCCCTGCCAAAATCCACGCAGCAAAGGAAATTTAAAGGTGCCTCAAGCAGTAACAGTAACCCTCCTAATGGCCCTATATAGATACGTCAAACAAGAAAGCTTAGTGAGGGCGTGTGCCTCTGTACAGTGTCTAGTACCTGATTGGTGCACGTGGAAACTACTGTAACATAAATATTAAATAAAAGTGTAATACCCTGCTGGACAGTGCTCTTAGACAGAAAAACGGTTACCCAGTGTTACCCTCAGAGAAAAAGCAACAGAACCATCTGTGTAGCCATCCTCTGTAATATTAATTTGATGCCCTCCCAAAAGTTATTCCATCAACAGTTTCATGTGTCTGAATGATTGTGTTTTGGTTTGCTGGCCAAATTTCAACTCATATAATTACATTCAATTTATTTGCAGTCTTTCTGGAATTTCATTTGGATACAGTGCATTTCACTTCCTCTCCTAAACTGTTTTGTATTGTTGCTGTGTTCTGTTAAACACTTGAGGTGTTTCACCCCAGATGTAGCTGCATTTCAGTGTTGGATAAACTGGTTCTTCTGTATGTATATACTTTTCCTCTTCATGGGGTTAATTAATATTTATGTTTCAATGCCCTTGAATGAAAGGAGATATAGAACTGCATCTATTATATATTATTATTTAATTACATTATTATTTAATGTTTCGGCACTTCTACATCCAGCCAGAATCCAGGACTGCCGAAAAATGCACAGGAAAATGTAAAGTAAGAAATAGGCTAAATTATTTTGACACACACCAAATTTGGTTTAGACACAGGTTTGGGGGTTCTTAGTTTCTCAGATTTATTTCACTCACCTCTGAAATAAACACCAAACTCTGTTAAATCACATTAATTCTATTCATGCTGCAACTATTTAACTAAAGAAGCTTAAATTACTTTGTTTACTTTCATGGCTCTTCAGATCAGCTTAGAAAGAAAAGAGAAGCACAGCAATATAATATCTGTAAACAATATTCTAATATAAACTTGAAAAAATTTGCTAATATTGGTTATACCAAAACCTGTCTGATGTGGCAGCTAAGTGTCACATGTCATTTGTTTTCCTGTGCGCACATATTCAAAATAATATACAGTGAAACCACTTCCACGAGGCACCTCTCTGTCTGAAGCTAGCACATTAAAGTTATGACGGTTGTTCCCAGTGAAATTTAGCTCATTTTAAACTAAAGCCTAACTTCTGCTAGGCATTTGACTTTTGCTGCTGCCTTGGTTAGTCTTTTAGGACAGGCTTCGCGGAACAGGAAGAACAAAAGGTGCAAGACAGTATTGTTAGGTTAACCGTATGGAAGCATTAAGGAAAGCAGAAATCTGACAAGAGCTATATGCTGCAAACATTATCGTCAATTAACACTAAGTAATTGGTACCTATGAAAATTAACAGTTGCGATATCAAGAATTGCATGTAACTTACATAACACTCTATCTTAAAATACATAAAATCACCTCAAACAAACATTAAAAAGTGTTTCACTGCTTCCTTTTCTAATTTATTTGTTAACCATTAGACCAGGGGTTCTCAAACTGGGAGTCGTGAGGTTATTACATGCAGGGGTCGCCCGAGCTGTCAGCCTCCACCCCAAACCCCACTTTGCCTCCAGCATTTATAATAGTGTTAAATATATTTAAAAAGTGTTTTTAATTTATAAGGGGGGGGTCACACTCCATGACTTGCTATGTGAAAGGGGTCACTAGTACAAAAGTTTGAGAACCACTGCATTAGATTACTTTTCAGTGGAATGAACAAAGAAACAAAGATATCAGCAACATGAAAACAGTCCACTTTGTACTTTCCTTGCAAGCTGTGCATAAGCATTCAAAAGTATCTTAAGTTAATGAAGACTTAAAGGAGTTCCCTTTACCCCTCTACATTTGTCAGGTTTGGTCTATGAATCTGAAGCATACCTGTTTTAAACACAATAATGTGTGTTTGCAGCTTTTGCTTCTGTTTTATACAGTCATACTGCTCCTCAAGTAAGCTTACGTCCATCTTGGTTGGCTGCGTGTCACAGTCTGAAGCCTGGTGCTCTGCTGTATGAGTCACTAAGAAAATACCACAGATATATTTGTAAGCTTGCACCATCTGTTTCCACAAGGAAGACAAAGTTAAGCAGAAGCAAGAGACGTCCTTCATTATGTTTGCAAAGAAGAAAATCAAGTTTGCAACATTTAAAATGTTCCTAAACGAAGCAATAACTTTTTGGTACGTATAGCAGCCCCTTTCACTGCCTGGTGCATTCAGAGTTGTAGATTTCAATCAGCTTGTTTTAAGATACATTCGGTGTGTACTGAACTTCGGAAAACATTTAATGACAAGATCCATTCAATTGAATTTAATGTTTACTTAAGGTTGAGCATATGAATCTTTGCCAAAAAACACAGTGAAGTACAAAACACCATTAAACAAAAGTCAGGTGAACAAAGGATTGGATGATATTGGTTTATGTAGTAATCTTAAATTTTAAAGGAACACCATCATGTTGTTCCGTCATGAGAGTGGTTCCATCCAGACTTTATATTCAGGATTATTCTATGCATTTTCCACTCAGCCCTCCCAATCTAATTGTTGCTGCTTTGCCAAATATCTTTAAAAAGTAGGTAAGATTCACAGTGAAGAAACTTGTGCACATCAGTCTCCTTTCAGTGTGTGTGCACCTGGGACTGTGAACCATCGGAGCTGCATGCCTCAGTAGATAAGGCATAGGCTTGGGAGTCAGGAGTTGGAAATTCTGGAATCTGGTTCTGACTCTACCTCATTTAATTTTCCTGCCTTTCAGTTATTCTATGTGTAAAATGGGGGGAAATTTTACCTGCTCTCCTTTGTAAAACATTTTGAGACCTATGGAACTGCCTTCCCAGGAGAGCAGTGGGGGCAAAACACCTAATTGGCTTCAAGACTGAGCTTGATAAGTTTATGGAGGGGATGGTATGATGAGACTGCCTACAAGAGCATGTAGCTGATGTGCGGTAATGGGACACTAGATGAGGAGGGCTGTGAGTTACTACAGAGAATTCTTTTCCAGGTATCTGGCTGGTGGGTCTTGTCCACATGCTCCGGGTCTAACTGATTGCCATATTTGGGGTCGGGAAGGAATTTTCCCTCAGGTCAGAGAGGGACACTGGGGTTTTTTCACCTTCCTCTGCAGCATGAGGCCTGGCTCACTTGCTGGTTTAAACTAGTGTCAATGGTGGATTCTCTGTAACTTGAAGTCTTTAAATCATGATTTGAGGACTTCAGTAACTCAGCCAGAGGTTGTGGGTCTATTACAGGAGTGAGTGGGTGAGGTTCTGTGGCCTGCAATGTGCAGGAGGTCAGACTAGAGTCTAGTCCAGGGGTAGGCAACCTATGGTACGCGTGCCAAAGGCGGCACGCGAGCTGATTTTCAGTGGCACTCACACTGCCCGGGTCCGGGGGGCTCTGTATTTTAATTTAATTTTAAATGAAGTTTCTTAAACATTTTAAAAACCTTATTTACTTTACATACAACAATAGTTTAGTTATATATTATAGACTTATAGAAAGAGACCTTCCAAAAACGTTAAAATGTATGACTGGCACGCAAAACTTTAAATCGGAGTGAATAAATGAAGAATCGGTACCCCACTTCTGAAAGGTTGCCGACCCCTGGTCTAGTCACTAGATGATCATGATGGTCCCTTCTGACCTTAAAGTTTATGAGTCTATCAATGAAATGTGTTAGAAGTGTGAAGTATTTGTAAGGCTTTTGCACAGTTCCCACATGACATTCTTATAAGCAAACTAGGAAAATGTTGTCTAGATGAAATTACTATAAGTTGGGTGCACAATTGATTGAAAGACTATATTGAAAGAGTAGTTATCAAAGGTTCACTGTCAAACAGGGAGGACAGATCTAGTGGGGTCCCACATGGGTCCTTCCTTGGGCTTATACTATTCCTAGGGTCCTTCAAAATTCAAAATGACCGCGACACATTAGAGATTTGGTCTGAATTCAACAAATGAAATTCAATAAAGATAAGTGCAAAGTACTTCACTCAGGAAGCACAAATACAAAATGGGGAATAATTGGCTAAGTGGTAGTACTGCTGAAAAGGGTGTAGGGTTTATAGTGGATCGCAAATTGAATATGAGCCAGCAATGTGATGCAGTTGCAAAAAAACTAATATTTTAGTGTGTATTAACAGGAGTGTTGTACGTAAGACACAGGAGGTAACTGTCCCACTCCACTCAGCGCTGGTGAGGCCTCGGCTGGAATAATGTGTCCAGAACTGGGCAACATGCTTTAGGAAAGATGTGGACAAATTGCAGAGAGTCAAGAGAAGAGCAACAAAAATAATAAAAGGTTTAGAAAACCTGACCTATGAGGTTAAAAAAACTGGGCATATCTAGTCTTAAGAAAAAAAGACTGATCGGGGACATAACAGTTTTCAAATATGTTAAGGGCTGTTATAAAGAGGACAGTGATCAATTGTTCTCCATGTCCACTGAAGAGAGGTCAAGAAGCAATGGGCTTAATCTACAGGAATGTAGATTTAGGTTAGATATTAAGAAAAACTTTCTAACTGTCAGGGTACTTAAGCTCTGGGAAAGGCTTCCAGGGGAAGTTGTGGAATACCCATCATTGGAAGTTTTTAAGAATGGGTTGGAGAAACACCTGTCAGGGATGGTCTAGGTTTACTTGGTCCTACCTGAGCACAGGGGTCTGGACTTGATCACTTCTCGAGGTCCCTTCCAGCACTACATTTCTATGATTCTCTGTTTTCTGTTATAATGAATCTTATAGAAAGTTATTTCCTTTGGTATCCCAGCCCTTGCAAAGACCTTCTTGAGCTCGTTTACTACCGTAGGTGCATTCACAGTGCACAGTTGGATGGCTTCGGGATACCATGTGGCTTAGTCTACTATCACCAGTATATAACCAAATCCCAATGCATTCTTCTCAAGGGTCCCAGTAAATCCACCCCTACCCATTCGAAGGGTACACCCACCACCGGGAGTGGAATCGGGGGCCTTAGACATCTCTTTAGGTCCTGCCAACTGGCATTCAGGACACGAGGCATAGAAATTGTGCACTTCTTGGTGGATGCCCAGCCAGAACTTACGGGCCACCCCCTCCAGCATCTTTTGTCTCCCCAAATGCCTGGCACACAGCACCGAACGGGCTAGGTGTAGTAGCCTCTGACAGAACTTTTTTGGTACCCGCAGTTGGTGCCATTTTTCCTGGGTTTGGGTGTCTCATCACTCAGTATAGCTATTCATTGCAGAGCTCGAAGTGGGGCCACTGCTTTGCCTACTGGGTTTCACTCTCTTCCCCCTCCAGGACAGCTACCTGCTCCCAAGTGCAGCTCAGAATCTTTTCCTCCCTTTGTTTCTGCATGAAGACTATCTCTAATGGTAGCCAATCATGGGTTGCTTCCTTGGATGTGCTCGGGCTAGTGGGCTGTTGGGTCAACGATCCTGGCTGGCCTGAGGGACCCCGCCAGGACCTTTCACCTTGTCCTGTCCCAGAAGCCCCCTTATTTTGGGTTTTGGGTCGACCTCTGCTGGGGGTTCTTTGTTCCACTGCTGCAGGAGTTCTCCAAATTATCTCTAATCTCGTCCCAATATTACTGGGTAGGGCAGCGTGGTCACTAAGCTGACTCAGCAAATCTCAGTGTGGCCCTCTACTTTAAGTTGCACTTTTGTCATGAGGTAGAACTGCATATCCCTGTGGATGTGTTAGAGTTTAGACAGGGGCCTCTGGCTTGTCAGGGAACTCCACCAGGCTTGTCTGGACGATGGTCTGGCTACATCCAGAATCCACCAGGCCCATCACTGTGATGCCATTGACACGTCCTGGCAGCAGCATATTAGTTGGGCCCCATTTCCGGGCTTGGGTATCTGCTGTCCATGCCTGCCCATAATTGCAGTTCATAAAGGGGCACTCCTGCCTGAAATGCCCCTCCTGTCCACACTCAAAGCAATTGCCCTTTGGGGTCACTATCATTTGGCCCACTTTTGGGGAAGTTGGTCCTCGTGGGGCGTATCCCCCTCTTCAGGGGCCCCGATTCCCCCCCAATCCACCTTTGTTGTGAGGTTGCTCCCTGCATCTGGGGGCACTCCACTGGGTAACAGCCAGTTTAGCTGTCCTCGGTCTTCCCTCCTTGCCCGCCCCCATTAGGGGTCAGAGTCTTGCTTCCAGGAGTCCCAGCCCTTGGCATTAGTGAGGGTGGACCCTCAGTGGACACATAATTCTCCTTTAGGATCATGGTCTCTGCCAGTGTAGACGGCCAATGGTGCTTTACCCATTCCTTCACCTTGGTTGGGAGAATCTGGGTGAATTGTTCTAGCATGATCATTTCCGCCATCTGTGTCATGTTTGTTTTTCTGGGTCTAACCAGTGCCAACACTGGTTCTTCAATTGTTGGGCCACCACCTGGGGCTGGGTTCCAGGCAGGTACTTACTTTGCAAAACCTCTGGCGGAACGTCTTGGGGTTGATATCTAGGTAGTCGAGTATCGCTGTTTTTACCTTGGTGTAGTCTAGTGCTTCAGGGGATCCAAACTCCAATAGGCTGCTAATGCAGGGCCAGTCAAGAATGGGGGTATCAGGGTGGCCCAATGTTCTGGTGGCTAACATGCTGTGGTGGTCACCCATTCAACGGTGAGCAGGAAGGCTTTGGGGTCATCGCTGGGGCCCATTTCATGAGCCAAATGGGCAGCCCAATTGGGAAGGCGTCTCCTATGGATCTGGGCGCTCTGATGTTGAATACCCCCTGGGGCTGTAATAGTTTTGCCACCTACTGGATCAGGCGTTCTTGTTGTGCCTGGCCCTGTACCGCCAGCTCCCAAATTAGCTGTTGTTTTTGGGCCACTTGCTGTTGTTGCTGGGCCACAGTCTGTTGCAGTATTTTCCCTTGTTGCTGCTCTTGCTGGGCCACCTGCTGTTGCTGGTTCTCCATCATCCATTCCAGCAGCTTTTCTGAATCCATGGCCTCTTTAGGGTCGTTCAATCGGTGGTCTGATGGTCCTTTTAACAGGACTTGGGTGATGCCTACATTCTCCACCACGTGTCGGGAGAGGTCCAGGTCTAGTCCCAGCAGCACTGCCTGGTGGTGGTTCTCTGTTATGTCACCTAATGGCTAGAGTCAGATGGCCATATTGTCCAATGGCAAG